GTGCGCACAGTGTGTGTGTGTGTGTGCAGGTGGGAGCTGGAAAACCCCATCCTTCTCGTGTCATTGAATTGACAAGAACTTCCTCAGGCAGACGGGACAGAGTTTACTGGAAGGGAGGCCATATCATTCTGGTGACCCCCCCCCTTTTTTCTCACAGTGCATTAGGTGCCCTTTCTCCTTGGACAATGCGCCCGCCCCTGCTTCCCTTTCTTCCTCTTGTTTGCTTTCCCACATTCTCTTCGCACCTTCATGAATATTCAGCGGCGCCTGGCTGCTTTGGAGGCTATTGAGAGCTCTTGTTAACACTTCGGCTAATGGCGGGCACCTTCAGTTGGAAACAAAAGCAGAGATAAGAGCTTGTTAGCAGGGGATCCTTGTTTCCCACCTAACAAGGTTCCCATTCACTTGGACACTTGCGGCGGCGCGCGGCTTCCTCTGAGAGGCGTCTCTTCGGACGGGGGGCTAGCTGTTCCTGAGAGGGGTCTCCTCTCTTCATAATGCTCCAACAAACACACACACACACTGCAGTCTGAAACTCATTAGCGCAGGGGACCCCAAATGGCTCTTACTGGGAACAATCAGCTAACCACAATGGGCACACAAACCTTGGGGCAAGTGGACAATAACAGAAGTTACAAAGCTTTGTCTCAAATAATAATAAAAATAATTATTTTATTATTTATTCCCCCTCCCATCTGGCTGGGTTTCCCCAGCCACTCCAGGCATCTCCCAACAGAATATTAAAAGCACAATAAAACATCAAACATTAAAAACTTCCCTAAACAGGGCTGCCTTCAGATGTCTTCTAAAAGTCAGATAGTTGTTTATTTCCTTGACATCTGATGGGAGGGCATTCCACAAGGTGGGTGCCACTACCGAGAAGGCCTTCTGCTTGGTTCCCTGTAACCTCACTTCTCACAGCGAGGGAACCACCAGAAGGCCCTCAGAGCTGGACCTCAGTGTCTGGGCTGAACAATGGGGGTGGAGATGCTCCTTCATGGGGTTTGACCCATCTCCTCTCTGGCCTCACTGCCCCCTGAGGTTCCTGAGCTCCCGTAGCATCTGAAGCCAGGTGTTCCAGTTTCTACTGCAGAGTAAAGGTATATCGCAGATGCAGAAGAGTCTTCAGAATTGTGCAGGGTGTGGGGTGGGACGCTGAGATGGAGGCAATGGCTCGGGTAAACTGGCCGTAATACACTTTAATGTGAGAATAGGGGAGCTGTACGTAGGGATGGATGGATCTCAGTTCTTCCTATTTCTCCTTTTCCTGGTTTTAAACTCACTTTCCTGCATTTCAGCAGCAATTTGCATTTTTTTAAAAAAACAACCTCGTGAAAATTCACCAGTATTTTAATGCAAATATTGCCTAACAAGCACATGTTTGTCTGCCATTTTGAGAACATAAGGGATAGCCTTGCAGGATCAGACCAGCGGCCCATCTTGTTCACTATCCTGATACCCAGCTGCCCCAGTGAGGAGCCTGCAAGCAGGACCTGAGGGTGACAGCACTCTTCCTGCTTGCAATTCCCAGGAACTGGGGTTCAGAGGGATACTAGCCTTCATGACTAGTAGCCATTGCTAGCCTTATGCACTGTTAAGAGTGGCTTTGCTGCCATTTCCGCCTTAAGAAATATTCTAGCAATCCCTCGCAACTCCTCAGGATTCACAATGACAAATTTTGGCCCATCTTTTCCCCAAATCTCACAAGAAGCTTCTTGCTCATTCTTTGCAGAGACCCTGTGAATCCCAGCTTCTCAAGGATCTGACTGCATTTTTTGTCACCATCTCATCAAGGTGCCTAGGTTTCTATGGCTACAGCTTAATTATATTCCAGCTTTCCTAAGTAGCCGTGCTGCCAATTAAGATGGCTGAGTGTTGAAGGAGGAACTTCAGTTTGAAGTTCATACTCCCCCCCCAAGTGAGGGCAAGGGCAGTCCATCACACACACACACACACACACACACACACACACACACACCCCTCCCCCACATATACCAAACAATCTGTTCAGCCTATTGCTTGCTTTTTTATCAAAATAAACATTCACAGGCTATACGAAGCTTCTCCAGCCCAGGTTCCTGCAGATATTTTTGGACCACAACCTAAGTTGTGGCCAGGAGAGCTGTATCATGCTGGGGCAGAAAGGACACAACCACACTGGCTGGAGCCAATGGGTGCTGTTGTTTGGATTTATATTCCACTTTTCTTCCCCAGGGTGACAAAGAGGTATACAATTTTAAAACAAAGAAGAAAAAAACAAAACACACTACCAAATACCGTAGATCAAAACATTCTGAAGACAATTACAATTTAAAACCTCTAAATGCAGTTACCATCAAAATCATTATTCCATCCTATGATCTCCATGCTTCCAGGAGTAGTATTCTTCAGCCACCAAATGCCCGGGTAAACAGGAATGTTTTCAAACAACTGTCCCTGAAAGTTAATAAAGATGGAGACAGGTGAACCTCCCCTAGGGAGAGATTTCCACAAATGGGGAGACAATACTGCAAAAGGCCCTGTCACGAGTCAACACCAACTGGATAGTGAAACCAAGAAGTACAAAACATCCGGAGGGCACCAGTATGGCAAAGACTGAGCTAATATATCCAGAATGAAATGCAGTCCTGACTGGAGAAAGAGAGAGAGGCAGCGAGAGAGAAAGAAAGCACACACACCTAAGAATAACAGGGGACTGAGCTATACAGCTGCAAATAAAATGTTTTGTGTGTTGTAAAGTGTATTATACAAATATGACACTAGATGGCAGTGATGAGCTCTGGCAAATTCAATCTATTTTTCAAAATGGTTTTCACAATTTTTTTTATATGTGTGTAGATTCCACCCAGGTCAGTCCCACAAAGGCAGGTTTTTCAAACCCACGTTAGATACTCCTTGTTCATTTGTTTCCCACCCAGAGGCAATATTTAAAGGTCAGCCTTTCTAGCAAGGGAAAATAAAACATCCCACAGAAATTAATCAAACAATTGACAAGAGCAACAGGAAAACAAGACCCTGTAAAAATAGAGACGGGCGCAGCAGATTAAAACAAACAAAACCAGGGGCCAAATCAGCAAAGGATTTTCTACTTGACAGGCCAAATCCCTACTGGCCAAGGAGCAAAAAGCAAAGCAAGTGAGGATGTTAAAGGGAGCTCCAGACTTTCAACATCTAGGTGCAGCCATAGAGAAGACTCTCTCTCTCTCCCTCTCAAACTTGCTGGCTGACCTTGGGCCAGTCACTATCTCTCAGCATTGCTTACCTCGCAGGGCTGTTGTGAGGATAAAATGGGAAGTGAGTTCATTAGAGGACAGAAAGGGTTTAAAATGACATACAATGAACAAATGTGCCTCTACTCCCTGCTATGTGCCATTGAGATGTCTAAGATTGCTGGGTGTGCCTTTTAAACACACCCAGATGAGGAATCAAGTGGAGAAAGACAGAATCTCCCTCCAAGGACACCCTGCAAAAATTAATAATAATAATAAGAGTTTGGATTTGATATCCCGCTTTATCACTACCCTAAGGAGTCTCAAAGCGGCTAACAATCTCCTTTTCCCTTTCTCCCCCACAACAAACACTCTGTGAGGTGAGTGAGGCTGAGAGACTTCAGAGAAGTGTGACTAGCCCAAGGTCACCCAGCAGCTGCATGTGGAGGAGCGGGGAATCAAACCCTTTTCACCAGATTATGAGTCCACTGCTCTTTAACCACTACACCACACTGGCTTTGTATGGATTTGTGCATGGGCGTGAGTCTTTGAAATGCCCCAACCAGAACAGATTAGGCAGAAATTCAATTCAGTTCCCATTTAAAGGTGAAGCTACCTACCTAATTCACACTTTCTGGAACAATACGCAAACCAAAATACAGCTGCCCTTTGAAATTTACACTTCTCTGAATTTTGCAATGCAGTTCTTCAGTCAAGTAATGTGTACCAAAATGTATATATTATGGGGAAATGAATATCTCAATGAATATATGCATAAATTGCATATATTCTTGAAGATAACATGCAAAATGCATCATAGTAGGAGAAATTGCATGGCAAAACTACATACAAAAATGGACATCTTAGGAGAAATTTGCACTAAAATGGTGATGAATTTTCATGAGGATTTCTTTAAAATTGCAAACTGATGTGGGAATATCAAGAACGGATCTTAAGATTGGAAAAAACGAGAAACTGAGACTGCACGCAGACTTACATTTAAAGCACATTACTTCCACCAAAGAATCCTGGGATTTGTAGTTGGAGGTGGGGGCTCAGAATTGTACCCCAGTGCACTACAGTTCCCAGGATTCCTTGCAGGAAGCCATGTGCTTCTGATGCACTTTAAAGGCACGGTGCATCCGCAGCATGAGAGAAACCGAAATTCACAGATTCCTCGCTGGCTCCCAACCAGCGAATTGCTCAATGCACCATGTCCAAAGCCTTTGGGAAACTGATTGATTTACTAGCTGGGAACACCTAGTGGGACTTAAGCTGCCTCTCCCGCTCTTTCTTCGGGAGCTTAAGGACAGCTGGGTTTGTGGAACGGACTTCCCATACTCAGCCTCGCAGCAGCAACTTGCAAGGGGTGGGTGGGAGAGGGAGAGAAGGGCTGGAAGGAGCAAGCATAATCTCCATGATTTACAGGCTGTCTCTCGAGTTTAAGAAACATTCAGCTCAAGCTATTAAATTACGAGGTGGTGCCACCTCCTCTTCGGCAAGAACCAGTTGGTTGCTCCTGCTAATGGCCACATTTATCTTTAGCTTTATCTGCCCCAGCTGGCAACCTGCTTTGCCAGGACTGTAGCTCAGAGGCAGAGAGCCTCCCATGCATACAGAAGGTCCCAGGTTCAGAAGGTCCCTCGCATGTAGGAGGTCCTCTGTTTCCTCCCTGAAGCCCTGGAGAACTGCTGCAGGTCAGTGTTGGCAGCACTGGGCTAAATACACCCAGTGGTCTGGCTTGGTAAAAGGGCAGCTTTCTATGTTCCTGGGGTGTGTGTGTGGGACAGGGGGGAAGACCATAGCTCAGTGGTGGAGCATCTTCTTTCCAGGCGGAAGGTTCCAGGTTCAAATCCTAGCATCTCCAGGTGGGGGCTGGTAGAGCATGTTTCCTGCCTGAAACCCTGGAGAGAAATGCTGCTAGCTGCTAGCTGGACCAGCGGTTCAGATTAAGGCAGCTTGCTCCGCTCCAAAGTCATTTTTGTCAGCCAGCCAAAAGCTCAAACCACAACAGCAGCTGCAGACCCAAGACACACGGATCTTTCCCTGTTTCCTCAGGGAATGGTGCGTTCTCCTGTTAGTTAAAGCAAAAAGTTCACGAGGGTTTGGCAACCGTTAATGGTTGCTGGAGAGTTTTATTTCATAGAATCGTAGAATTGGAAGGAACCCTGAGGATCATCGAGTCCAACCCCCCGCAATGCAGGAATATGTAGGGATCATACCCTCAACCTTGGCGCTCTAACCAGCTGCGCTACCCAGACTGCTGTGTCTCTATTCCACCTTTCCACAAAGGAGCTCAAGGTGGTGTATGTGGTTCTCTTCCTCCTCGTTCTATCACCACAGCAACCCTGTGAGGTAGGCCAGGCTGAGAGACTGTGCCTGGTCCAAGGTGACTTGAACTCTGCTCTCCTTGGTCTCCAGCTTTCAGCCTCCCCTTGCTCTCTTGAAATGCCAAGTGTGCTTAAGATGCAACCAGAGCCAGGGCCCTGCAGGGCTTTTTCAGCTGTGGCCCCAATCTGGTGAAATGCTCTGCCACAAGAGACTAGGGCCCTGCGGGACTTGACATCTTTCCGCAGGGCCTGCAAGACAGAGCTGTTCCACCAGGCCTTTGGCCAGGGCACAGCCTGACTCCCTCCTTTGGTAATCCTCACAGAACTCTAGCCCAATGGTTGCCATTAATTTGATTTTGTACTGATTTTAGAACGAATTGATTTTAGAATGCTGTGTTACTTTTATTGTTGTTAGCTGCTCTGAGCCTGGCTTCGGCTGGGGAGGGCGGGATATAAATTTTAAAAAAATTATTATTATTATTATACATATTTTTTTTAAAAAAGTCTGCAAAATCGGATGTGGCAAGGTGATGAACTTGGTTTTGGAAACAAAGCCGGAAACAGAGAAAAGCCAAAACTGACAGAGGCGTCCATCCCTTCTAACAGTGCAGCATCCAAAAACCGAGATCCTTTTATCTTCTATTTCCCATGGATGGGACAAACCTGTTTTGCTGCCTTCAGGTATCTTGTTCTTCCTGATCAACCACTTTCCTTGAATTCTCTCAATAATCTTCCTGACTCAAATCAGTGAGAGTGAGAGGAAACAGAATGAGATAGGGGGTCCTGCAACACACAGGGAGTACGAAGAGTGAACACAAACCCCTCAGGGGGTGACGCCAGCTGCCCTGCCCCCCACGTGGATAGGTGCCACCCACATCTAGGAACAGGAGAGTAATTTGGATCAGTCCACATTTAAAGGCAAATCAACTAAACAAAACACTTTGCGAACTGAAACTTTGAAAATTGCCTTTCTCAGAATGTTGCAGTGTGTGGTTCTTCCACTGTGGAGGGTAAACAAAGGTGCATATACTGGGGTAAAATGTCCCTATAATGGGGAAAATAACATACAAAATGCAATGCATTGGGAAAAATATGAATATAAGGGAAAATATGCTTTGCAAAAAGGTGTATCATAGGCAAAATGGCACACAAAATGTGATATGAGGATAAATGCGCACCAAAATGCTTTTCAGTTTTCAAGATAATTTTTTATTAAAAGGAATTCACAAGCGGATGTGGAAATGTGGAGAAATGAACTTAAGATTCCAAAAATGAGAAACTGAGGCAAACCAAAATGCACAGATTAGTGTGTCCATAGCCACACTTAGCAATGAACAGGGTTGCTTTATTTTGAAGAGCAAAAAAGAGGACACATTGGCTGACTTCTACTTTTAAGTATGGATCGCTATGATGACTCTCATTTCACATACCCATAAAAAAGGAGGACATGCCCTGGAAAAAGAGGACATATGGCAACCCCGGTGATGATGCTCCCCACCAGCCATGTGTTTTATAGCAATGTGAGAAGGATCCACATACACAAGGATGTACATGCATAAAGTCCCTTTGCATTGCCACCAAACATGTGGCTGATTTGTGGGGAAGGAATGGCTAGTTAGCAATGCCACACAGCTGTCTCCTGTGAGCGTTCTGTGTCTGGTGGGGTTTGCATGAACTCCCCCCTCTTCCCTGAGACGATAAAACTCTGAACGAAGGCACTCCAGCTGCAGAAAGCAAAGTTTTATAGGGATATTTTGGAGACAGACACAGAAGTTAGTTTCTTGGCAGGGTCCTGGGAGTTTAGTGGAGAAGTCTGTGGGCCTATTCTGCAACTGAATTTTTCACATAGGGGAGTCCAGTGCTTGGAAAATTCATTTTAAAAGAGAATTGCTCTGCTGAAGTTGCTCTCCTTAAGTATGAAATATATACACAAGAAGGCTAGAAAGAAATCAACACACACGCACGTTGTGATGTGAACAATTGTTTTATTTATTTCCCCCAATGATTATGATATATAAGCTTAGACAGCATCAACATTTTCAGATAGGTAAAAATGGTAAATGCAATGGCCACAGTCAAGCACAGAGCTAAGTGCAATAATATAAATTATATAAAAAATATAGAATTAAAATGAGAATGGAATGGAATTGAATTTGCGTTCATTTCACCCAGAAATTGTGGTGACTGTTAGCAGATTTTGCATCTTGAGTGAATTACATTGGGATGATCACTTACAGTTTCTGGAGTTCAAAGGGTTTATTCATGCAGGCTTTATTCATTTACAGGGTGAGTGGAGAGGAGTAAAAGTAGCAGACATAGCGTCTGGAGAGAGCAACAGACAAAATGGCTCCACTTTTAACGGTGGTGTTAATTCAGATTGCTATACGAAGTGCAGCTAGATTCCTATACAAAGAGTATCCTTGTGTAGTTCATGAGCTGGTGCCTCCTACCACTCCACTTTGTCCAGCCAGTCCCTGACAGCATGTGTGGAAAACAGGGCTGGTCTTGCCATGCCCCAGATTGAAGTGATCTGCTTCAATTGGCACCAGAGGTGCATGAAGATAGATGCAGACGGGAATGGATGTCTATTCCATGAAGCAAGCCTTTGAAAGCATTGACTTTCATGGGAGAGGGGTACCATTTGGGCAGCCAAATGTGCCATCATTCTCCAAAAGCCACAAAGCTTTTCTTTGGAGAGAACCTATTTCTCCATCAGCTGATTGAGGCCCTTTGTGTCCTAGAAGAAACACATTTCACAAATATGAAAACCTTTGCCGAATATAACTACAGGCATTAGAAACATCAAGCGTGTAAGTTGATGTAAGATAAAACTATGTTGTTGAGTTTTGGGGGTCCCCCCCGCTTTGATTTCAAGAGACGTTGGCATTTAATTAGTCTGAGACAGACCTTCAATCGCTCGGTTTGGATAAGCCCTCTGATCACTGCAATTTTAAATGAATGCAGCCACAGATTAATTAATTAGAAGGAACAGTGAGCTGAATAGTGCATGGCTGATGCCACGGTGGAGAGTTAGCATCACAAGAGAAAAGGATTGTTCAGAGGCTTTCAGATCTGCTTTGATGGCAGCAATCGGATTGGGGAATCAGGTGCGAAGGTGGGGAAGTGAGCAGACAAGGTGTGTTGGACTCAGGTTCAAAAATGGCCCTGGAGGTCAGGTGCTTATTGAACTGGTAGGGCACAAGGTAGGGAGCCCAACAGTAGGTGGCGCCAGAGCCAATGACAGCCAGAGCCCACTCAATCTAGTTTTGTCCTCATCTCTTGCCAGGGAGGAGGAAGTTGACAGGCAGTTCTATCCTCTGGACTGGTTCAAAGTAAGGTGGCAGGCAAGTGGGGACTGGCTGGGGCAGACGGAAGGTAGTGGGGCAATATCCCATTTGTCCTAAGGGATCAGCCTCCACTGCCAGAGTTGAAGCAGAAACTGTGTTCTATTTACTTTTGAAGGGGAGGGAAAGGTCATCACCCTCACAAAGGGGACTGTGAGTTGCTCAGAGATTTTGCAGGCACAGGAACACTACTGCATCAGCAAGCACCAGGAACAAGTAGTCTTCCTTGGGGGGCTATAGATCTGCAAGACTCTCTGTCCAGCGCCTGGCATGGAGGTTGGAGCCGGGTTCAAAGTTGTAGCTGGGGCTGAGCCAAGGAGTTCTGTAGCGAGTGATTCAAGTGGTTAGAAAGGGTCTGTCAACCAGCAAAGGACCAGAGGAGGCTGAGAGACTGAATACACCTGCAGTTAAGAGGTGTGCGAATATGTCGATTTTAGGTTCTCTCAATTTCTCATTTTCCAAATCGAAAATTCAGTCCTCCGCATTTGCATTTAAAAAAATAAAAGTCTTCATGGAAATCTATCAGCATCTTAGCGCAGATTTCTTCTAATATACACATTTTGTACACAATTTTGCCTAATATATACTATTTTTGCAAGGCATTTTCCCCCCTAATACAATGCATTTTTGTATGTTATTTTCAGAGATATAGGCATTGTTTTGCACATTTTGCTATGTGCATTTTTGTAGCAGAGCATCTGCTTTGCATGCAGAAGGTTCAACCTCTGGCATCTCCAGGTAGGACTGGGAGAAATCCCCTCCATCTAAAATCCTGGTGAGCCCCTGCCAGTCAGTGTAGACTGTACTGAGCTAGATAGACTTGGTGGTCTGCCAGCATCCAATGTTCTGGTAAACAGACAGGGCAGGTTTTAATAATCAAAAGCCTACCAAATCTGTTGGATCAGCGGTAACAGTGAGACGAAAGAGGGAGACGAGTATACTGTTTGTTGTTGTTTAGTCGTGTCCGACTCTTCGTGATCCCATGGACCAGAGCATGTCAGGCACTCCTATCTTCCACTGCCTCCCGCAGTTTGGTCAAACTCATGTTGGTAGCTTCGAGAACACTGTCCAACCATCTCATCCTCTGTCGTCCCCTTCTCCTTGTGCCCTCCATCTTTCCCAACATCAGGGTCTTTTCCAGGGAGTCTTCTCTTCTCATGAGGTGGCCAAAGTATTGGAGCCTCAGTTTCACG